GCAAACATATAACGAGACAAAATAATAATTAAGGCTAAAATATTGCCAACCATTTATTTATGTTTTATTTTTCTGCTTTTTGTCAATTCTCTGTATTTGATATTCATCTGCATTATTTGCAAATAAGAAAATCAATAAAAAGTTTAAAATCATAAAAAAAATTGTTTTCATATAACTTAAGTTGTTTGAAATTTTACGAAATAGCTACTTTTCAGACTATATGTAAAATAGTTACATTTAATCGTAAGCATAGGCCTCAAACTCAATTCCTGGAGTGCCGCAGCTCTGCAGTTTTGCTCTAACCCTAATCAAACACAGTTGATTCAGCTGATCAAGGTCCTCAATACTACTAGAGACTATTAAGCAGGTGTGAGTTGGAGCTAAACTATGCAGAGCTGCGGCCCTCCAGGAATTGAGGTTGAGACCATTGCTCAAAAGAATGGGTTATAATGGACCCTTATTATTAGGGGTGTCAATATTAATTGTTTCTTTGGTGCACCGCGATGCAGATGCGGACAATTCAGTATCGGTTCTGTAATAATTATAACCAGTTATTATGTACTGACGTCATTAATCTCATTTGCGCACTGTCGCGAGGGAGGAGAGCACGAGTATTTACATCGCACCAATGACTTAAAACTCATTGACTGTGCACAATTTCACTGCGTGTGTGTTTGCTGGATCAGTCTTTCTCTGATATTTACAGCAGAAGCCCCTATTTCACAGCGATTGAGAGAATGAAAGTACTCCATCTCTCTCTCTCTCTCTCTCACACACAAACACACACACAGTGGCCCATTTGTCCTGCTGGTGTGACTTTTCTTCTCCTCTCGGCTGTATTACAGCGTTACTTCTAGATACAGACACGAGCGCGTGTCTGCAGAGTTTTCTCCACCATGTCTATCATCAATCAGCTGTGATCGCCGCTGTTGCCTGCCGCTTATCAGTATCACTCACCTGTGAAGAACGCAGCACGCAAGAGCCAATCGCAACCGTTTTTGTCGAGAGTGTGACCAATCAAAGGGGTGTAAGAGAACTAGACAAGGATCAGAAAGCCAGCTGGATATTTATATTAGTTTATATTACTTGCTAAATGTGCGTGTTGTTTAAAGGTACAGTTTATTAATCTGACCGTTTGTATTAAATGACAAAATTGTATTACAAATCATATATAAATATTAATATATTCATACATTTTAATACATGAATTGCTGCTGTGAAGAAAATATAAAACTGTGTATGGAAAGCACCGTTATGCACCGAGATATCCAATTGAACCGAATCGATGCCATGGTAATCATAACCGAACCGAGCCGTGAGAATAGTGTAGGTTCACAGCTCTACTTATTATGTTAACGGAGTTAAGCAGCATGCAAAGAAATTGCCACCAAATGGCGATTTTTACCGAACCACCAATCTGGCCATCACACAGCCCCGATGAGACTGAACATATGTTTCCAGACATTTCTCTCAGCTTCTCAGATATTCTGAGAACACATTGTCATTCCACAGAAGTCCTGTGCTATTTGTAGCACAATAAATCTTGCACTTGCTTCTCATTTGTTGAACAATTGTTTGTTCCTCTGGCGTGCAGTTTCTCCTTTATGCACTCCTGAGCTCTAGAAATAATTAATAGAAGAATCAGAATTTTCCTGATGCATTTGATTCTCGCATTTCTATGGCTATACACTGACTCAATTTCCTTTAAAATCTATAGTAACTTACTGGCAGCAGTTCTCCAGTAACTTACTGTAAATCAATTACAGCAAATACATAATACTGTATTAACATTCACAGCAGCATTTATCTTGCTCTATTTATATTTATGGTACTGTATAACTTTACTGTAAAACACAGTAATTTTCACAATGCAACTTTAAAATACAGTAACGCACTGCAAACCTGCCCTACAGTAAAACACAGCTCACATTACAGTTAAATACTGTGTAATACAGTCTACATCCTGAAATCCCAACACAATCTCACGGCAATTCGTAACTTTTTCATTTAGTGGCTAATTCGTACAAATTCGTACAATCTAATTCGTACATATTAGTACGATTTGCGTATCCCCCAATGACGGTTGGGTTTAGGGGTGGGGTTAGGTGCCACGCCTCCTTTTTAAAATCGTACATTTTCTTACGACTGAACTCGTACAAATTCGTACGAATTAGCCACTAAACTGCCAAAACGTAAAATACTTACGTTTTCTCATGAGATCAGGCTGGAAATTCACAGTGAAACTTGAAGCTCCACTGTAAAGAAGCTGTGAGTGCTTTGACAAGTCGTGTCAAATGTGCTTCCAGCACATCTCGATTACGAGCACAAGAGCTTCAAGTCGCCAAGCTGCACATTGAAGATGATATACCGAGAACGGGTTGACAACCGCTCTCTGGAGAAGACATTACTTCTACAGTACATTGCTTGTCACACCGTGCCACGCAAACATCCCTGACGTTCATTTACAATAATACAGCTCTCGACTAAAGACAAGCAGATGGGTGCAAGAAGGATGGTGCAAGCAGATGAAACGAGAAGGCAGAATAAAGAGCGCTGATGGATTTATACGTGGAGATATTTGAGAGCAACAAAGCCATTCCTCTCATGGCACACAGTCATTACGGACATTTGATGAATCTACAGTATGAATGCGCCTCAGGAAGGAGGGAAGACGAGAGTGGATCCAAACGCAAGATCGATGATGCGGCTCAAAAATTGCTGTGTTTTTTGCTTTACATCAAATACATTCAGGACATAGCGCAAGATTTTATACACCCCCAAATGTCTTCTGATAAAGGGTTTGCATCCCTCAGAACATACACCGCCAGCCATAATTGAAAAGGCCAAAAAAAAAGCTCCTTTTAAAACACCCAAGAGTTGAGGAGAGCAATGAAAAACATGAGAAACTAAAGCCTTCATTCAGGTTTGATGGTTTTAGACATATGGCTGGGGCTTAAAAGCATCAGGTCGGTACAGCTGCCGTTTGAGTTTTTGGATATTTGCTTTAAAATGTAATATATTGTTGGAGGAAGTCCCAGATGAAATCAAAGAAGTCTATTTTATGGCAGTGGACAATGGCGACTGCATTGATTAGAAGTTATCAAAACCTAACAGTCTTCAGCTGGGCTTAAGCTAAGTGATGCCTAAAAATGCTATTTGCCTTTAACATAAATATAGTACACTGTAGCCTTTTCTCCTATACTAGGTGAGAATTTCGATTATCTAGTGAGCTTCAATCCGAACCCACTTGCTTTCATTCCTACCATAAATATCATTGACTTTGTGTGGATTTAATCAATTGAGATCCGCCTGAGGAACTTTAAGAAGTAGCTTTTAGCAGGAAAGTAGATGTTAAAAAAAGGACTGGCAAAGCTTTTACCCTTCTACGTCCATTAAAGAGAAACGGAGAGAGCGCGGCACAACCCAAGCACTTCTAAGGTCAGCAAATCTTACAAAACAAAAAGCGCATTTATAAGGAAAATGAACAAGATGCCAGATACTACATGACATTCCAGAGCAGTTTGGCTGAAAGGGGGGAAAATGTCTAGACTTCTGCACGAGTTTGAGCACTTGACATCTAATGGGAGACCAGCAAGAGGAAAGTGATTTTGAGATGAGCCAACATGAAGTCACGCTTGGAATTTGCTCGAAGCCATTTGACAAAACATGACATTTTTTGGAGGAATATTTTGTGGTCTGAAGAGACTAAACCTGAGCTTTTTGGCCTGAAAGTGAAGTGCTTGGCGTTAACCAAATAAAGCCTGATACCAATAATACCAAGCAAAACATTGGCATCTTAGGTTGCCTTTAAGTATCTAACTGGAAACAAGGCCAAAATGTATATACAAATGCAAATACAAATAGAAGTAAGTGGAATAACAAAGTATCTATCTATCTATCTATCTATCTATCTATCTATCTATCTATCTATCTATCTATCTATCTATCTATCTATCTATCTATCTATCTATCTATCTATCTATCTATCTATCTATCTATCTATCTATCTATCTATCTATCTATCTATCTATCTATCTATCTATCTATCTATCTATCTATCTAGTCTGTCTGTCTGTCTGTCTGTCTGTTATCTATGTCTGTCTAAATAAATTAATGCATAACCTAATAGAGAGATAGGAAATTATGTTAAATATACTAGGGATTTATACGTGAAACAACAAAAACTAAACAAAAAACAAACAATCCAAAAAGCAAAACAAACAAGTACTAAACAAACAAACAAAACAAAAATTAAACAAACAAAAAAACAAACAAAAAATACAACAAAAAACTAAACCAAACAAACCAAAAAATGAACAAACAAAATAACAAACAAACAAACCAAAACAACAAAACAATCAAAAAGCTAAATGTAAAAAACAAGCAAAGAAATAAAAAAAAACAAACAAAACAAAAACAAACAAAAAACTAACAAAAAACTAAACAAACAAACAAGCCAAAAAACAAAACAAATAGGAAAATAAACAAAACAGAAACAAATAAACAAACAAAAAACAAAACACAAACAAGCAAAGAAACAATACAAAAAACAAAACAAACAAACAAGCAAAGAAACAAAACAAAAACAAACAATTCAAAACAACAAAGCAAAAACAAAACAAAAAACTAAACAAACAAAAAAGAAACAAGCCAAAAACAAAACAAAACAAAAAACAAAACAAAACAAAACAAAAGTAAGTGAATAAATAAATGGCTAACTGTAAATACACAAAATAAATGCATTTATATAAAAATAAACACCAGCAAAAAACTAACATCCTCATTTTGTACAAAGAACTGTAAAACCCATATTCCGCAATATTACCAAATCTGAAGTGACACTAAAAAAGTAATAGGAGGCCATTACTGCAGAACTCAGAGACTGTTTGTGATCCTGTGCGCTATTTTCATTGTTAGAGGAAGTGTGGAGTGCTTAGTAATGGCCAGTGAGAAAACTGTGCTGTATAGACATCAATCAAAGAGCAGGTGGTCACACTTACCCCTCCACTAATGTCCTGTTGGCCAGACGGATGCAGTGCTCCCATAACACATTAGACACAGGCAGAGGAATCCGCACGATCTTTGACACATCTCCCAGCCTCAGGTTAAACTTCTCAAACTCCTGCACAAAACAGTTGATGGAATCAGGGTCAATGTCATGACACTCATTTTAGTCTGGGTGACTTGTATATATACACAACTAAGCATGTGATGAGCTTGTTTTTGATGTCTAAACTAGTGTACAGTAAGTCCCCATTTATTTTCATCATGACCTTTGCGTATTTGTCCTTCACAGACACAAGATTTTACACGAATCAAGCAACGAGATTTACTAAGGTTTGAAGTAGTCAGTTTACTGGTATTTGCACCATTAATTCTTATATTAAAGACCTTTTTGTCGATTAATTCAAATTTAGACCCAAAGTTACTTTTATTTAACCAGCAATGACACAGGCTTCCTCCAAAAGATAATACAAAGACATACAAGGGGCATTATTGTGGAAACAAAAGCTGCTGAAAAACAGAAGCTCTGCAGTCGGTTTGTGGACAGTCATGGCTGAGAAAAAGACCTGCGGTTGCGCATTGTGACTGCTAACAAGTCAGGAAAGGGCTATAAGACCATATTTAATGTTTTGAAGTCCCAGTGGCTAAAGCCCAACTTTTTGGTTTGGGGGAACGATTGCATATATTTTCCTTTCTACACTCTTCGATATAACGGTACAAAAGCGTTATAACAAAAATGAGCACCATAAGGGCAGATTACACTGGATGGGCCTTTACGTTCCAATAACGCGAGATGCACCACATTACTTTTTTTGTTGACAAGAAAAAAAGAAGCGCGGTTTGATTTTTTATGTCGCAAGGCAATGACTGAATGAGTTGGGTATTGTGTGGAAGTGTTGCTGTTAAAATTAATATAATTTTAATATTTAATATCATTGTGATATTCAAAATTTGTGAAGTCATACAACTCTGGATAACTCAAAACAGCAATCAAAAGTCTCTCCTCCATCTTGAAAAGTCCCTGTTGTTGTCTTGACAACACAAACACTGCAGGCACCTCAAACCCCGCCTCTGCTTTTATTTGATTGGAGAATGAATGAGACGCGACTGACGTAACACGCTTTATCACAGTTGACTTTTTCAACTGCGTGCACACGGTGCGCAAGGGCAAAAACGTGAGGGGCAGCAGGCGGTTAAAACGCAAGGCATGCAGGGCGCATAAGCAGCACGCAAAACACTCTTGACGATTAGTAAACGCTTTAAAAAAGGCGCCTCTCGACGCATAAACCACGTTCGGTGTGATCGGCCCCTTAGATGGCATAAATGGTCAAACCAGTAGATCAAACACATTGTAAAACATATGAAATGTTGTTTTGGTCATTCTGCCGTTGGTTTGTGGACAGTCATGGCTGAGACAAACACCTGCAGCTGCGCATTGTGACTGCTAACAAGTCAGAAAAGAGCCATGAGACCATATCTAATGTTTTAACGTTCCTGTGGCTAAAGTGCTAAGTATAAACAAAAAAACACACGATGTTTTGCACTGAAAAAAATTAGAGTTTTTTTGGGGACGATTACATTTTTTTTTTTTTTTGCCACACTGTCTTTTATAATGGTACAAAAGCGTTATAACCAAAAAAGAGCCCGATGAGATTGCATAAATGGACAAATCAGTAAATCAAACACATTGTAAAACATCTAAAATTTTGTTTTGGTCATTCTGCGGTTGGTTTGTGGACAGTCATGGCTAATACAGAGACCTGTGGCTGCACATTGCGAATGCTAACAAGTTGGGAAAAGGCAATATGACCATATCTAATGTTTTAAAGTTCCTGTGGCTAAAGTGCAAAGTATTTATAAAAAATACATGATGTTCTGCACTGCAAATGTATTTATTTTTTGGTACGATTGCCTATATTTTTCCATATTGGTACCTTAAAGTTATATATAAGTAGCCAAAGAGTCCATATTGTACCTTAAAGATACATATGTTCTCGCTGAAAAGTACCAAAAGGTACCTTTAGAAAGTGTACCACCTTAGTGACAGCTATTGTACCATTATTTCTGATAGTATATGGAAGTAAATAACTAATGTCTGGTTACCATCATTCTTCAAGAAACTAATTTAGTCTGGAAACATTTTGAGGGCCAATAAATGTGAATTCATTTTGGGGGGTAAACTAAACATTTAAGAAGTGTTTCTTCAATCTGATCAGAAGTGGATACTTTCTGACAATCTGTAATTGTCCACTTTCGACCAGTGGCAGTTAAAAACACATTTGATCCGATTGCTTTTGCAGTGTTAATATACTGAATCAATTCAAACAGCTACTAAAGATTTGACTTTTTTTGTCAAGCGCATCCCTGTTCGCAAAATGGATGTAGAGCCTAGAGGATAGTGTCTAAACAAAATGCCAACACAAGTGGCCAAAAGAGATGCCTCTGAACACATGATAATACCAAGTTCATCCCACCTACCACTTTGATTTGATCACTGATATACATGCACTGGCCACTTTATTAGGTACACCTTACTATTACAGGGTTGGACCTCCTTTTGCCTTCAGAACTGCCTTAATCTTCCATGGCATAGATTTAACAAGGTACTGGAAATATTCATCAGAAACTTTTCTCCATATTGAGATGATAGCATTACACAGTTCACATCCATAATGTAAATCTCCAGTTCCACCAGATCCAAAAGATGCTCAATTGGTGACTGTGAAGGGCACTTGAGTACAGTGAACTCATTGTCATGTTCGAGAAACCAGTCTGAGATGATTCATCAAAGTGGTTAATTTTTCTTGATATTTGGCACCAGTCTATCAGGAAGTGTTGATTTTGTTCTCTTTGACTCACAGGATGGAAACAGCTATTTATTCGATAATGTTTTAAGCCATATTCCAGTTTCTGTCCGTTTCATCTTTGGATGTTAACAGCTATAGACATGTCCACCTTTGTGTACGGTGCTTACTGTTATCCATTCATCTTAACTATCCCAGCATGAACAGCACTGGATCCATCTGGATGGGAGGTCACAAACAGACTAAAAAAAAAAAGATTTTATTTTAACATGTCACAGAAATCCCACCAAAGGTGTAAATTAATCCTCGAGTCGAGCAGCGGAAACAGAGGTCTATAAATACTCACTAGAGTCAAATTGGCAGCACAAACTGACAAACCTACAGGATTCAGGTTGTACAAAGAAACGATCTCCAAATTTCTGTGGTGCAGATGTCTCGATAAAATCGTGCCACGTACAAAAAACCTGCACCGTATAAGCCGGCTGCTCATGGAGGTGTTGATTCAGCTGTACTTGAGCCCATTTCTCTTTCACTTGTGACAGGAAAACCCACCCTTAACTTTCTTAACACAATGACATACGGGCCGTTTGAGAGCCAAGGACTACATGTACCGTGATCTTGCACCTTGAATGTTGACACAAACCCAAAAGCACTAAAACTGCTGTGCAAGTTACCCGGGCTGTTTGTCTGCTTTTAATCTTCTGGATTAATTTTTTAAAACATCCCGTTTATTTTACAACTCTGAAATATGGGTTCAAGAGAACACAAGTTCTGCTCTGAAGATCTCCGTTTCTTAGTATCCAGTTGTAATTTATAGCCTCAGCGAGAGACAGTGTAAGAATTCATACCGAGAAACTAATCGCAGAAAACATAGATCAGATGATTCGCTCTCGATCATGTTGATAAGTGTTGAAGTAATGCGAACCGAAAGGATGAACAGTTTTTATAATAAATCTTGCGGTGCAAAGAAAATGAAAATAGTTTATTGCACCTTTGTGCTGATTGATGAAAAGCCACAGACAGGTTTAACCCACACTGTACACTTTTTTTTCAAAGTAAAATCGATCAGTAAGTCATGATAACATATGTTTTAATATTAATCATAACGCTAATCATGTTTCTAACCTAATTTTCAAAAATACTCAAGCTGTTTTAAAGGGGAAATGAAGCACTTAGTCAAGTTTACAATATTTTGTAAACTGGATTCCCCTTTAATGTAAATTTTATATATAACATATTCGATTAATGTAACTATTTAGCAGAAAACGGCATGTTGTACTATACAGTGTAAATATACTATACTATAATTTTATTTTTAATTTTTACCACGTTATATAATAAACATAAACACTTGTTTGATGTCATAGAACACATCTTTACTGTACCTGCAGTTTTCCCAATCTGTTTGTAAAAAAAAAAGCTCTGTTTGCACGATTTGATTAGTATCCTCATATCCAAATATTTTATAAATAATATTTATTTAAAAAATAATAAAATTATTATAAATTCCGTTGTTTTTCATTTTTTAGAAAATATCTAAAACCTTTTTTTCAGATAGGCCTTTGTAAAATTAAAGTTCAAAATGGCTTAAAACAGTTTAATTCATTTATATTATACTGTATATTTCTAAATCATTGTAGCTTTTGTTTGTTTTAGGTTGGTTTATTTAATGTTTTATTTAATTTCCGATATTTGTATATCTTTAAATGATTTTAATATCGCTTAGGCTATTTTATCTAGATCTATGAAATTGTGTTGAGCCCTCAAAAGTGGAAGTTTTGCAGTCTCCGTGCTCAGTCCATTACTTCCATTGTATCTGTTCAGCTGAGGGAACGGAACCAACCCTGTGACGTCAGACACAGCAATATTGCAAGATGGCGGCGCCCTAGGTCTAAAATCTATAGTGTTGTTTTCTGCTAAATGGTTACATTAATTGAGTTTGTTTATTATATATTCATTAAAATACTATTCAATTCGCAAAATAATGTATACTTGACTGAGTGCTTCATTTCCCTTTTAAAGGACCATGAATGCCTTTTTGAAATTTCATGACTTTTCAAGGTTTTCCAGGACCGTAAGAACCATGTTTGGGGGACAACTTAATTGTTTCACTTTCAATCCACGTAATCAGTTAACCAAATTTTTTTGTGTTGCCCTAATGCAAATCGATTGCGCGGAACCCAACCTTTTTTATAGGACACGTACTGGTTTGACATGTTTTGTCAGTTTCTGTGGTGTTGTGTACGCAGACCTTTTTTGAAACAACTCCATATTTATAGAATTACTTTTTTCGAACAAGTGGATAGGGAGAGCT